CTTAATACATTATAATGTTAGGATGACCCAATTGAAGCTCACTTGTGTGTTTTGGCACCAGGGGACCAAATGTGAGAGATCCAGCCCATTAGTTGAAAGCTGCTAGAATTGGCTTTGTTACTAGTGTAGGCCCATTTGGACCACTCCCACACTTAGCATTGTCAATGTTGTTTTGTGCTGAAGAACACTTGCATCATTTTCTTTGTTACATTTGTTTATGGTGTTTGTTTAAGAGTAGAAAAGCTAATTGAACGATCCCAAGCCCGTACATTAAATTCAACCTTCACATTATGCCTACTTTTGTTTATATTTTTGTTAAGAACAATCCTCTTGCCTGCCTTCCTACTTATCACCTATTCTAGCGATGAGACCAACGCATGATGCTCACTCGCAGATATTAGAGGAGGACAGCAGTGTTAAGAAATTCTCTACCTGCCCACGGCTACTCGCGTTAAATAGCAGTCCACTTCTGAGTTTTGGTACAGTTCATTCATCAAATCTGCCATGAATCCGTCAGCCTAGACAACCCTTTCATAGTAAGGAGACACCGAAATGTTTTATTCTCACACCGTCTGACATGCCAATAGCAAGTCCCAGTCTCCTCAAAGTCTACTACAGATCTGTTTCATCCATGCAAAAGGCTCTGGCTGAAGCCACAATCTTTACTGGAACAGTAAGAAAAGGTGTGAACCTCTCCCGTCCTGGTGGCCTTTGTGTCTAACAAGCTGGTGTCAATCACCTAACCGTCTTTGCTGAAAAGAGGGGACAGCAGAGGCAACGACGCCCAAATGTTCAAACTTTCCAGCCGTGCTGAAAGTGTGAGCTTTGACAGCATTCAGATAATGAAAAGAGCAGATCAGACTGGTGATGTGATTGGAAATGTAAATGGTGCTGCTGGCAGTGTTTGCCGGAGGGTCTGTCTATCATCAGGGCTGCCGAGCTACTATCAGGACAGTCGTGTAATATCATGAATTTTAAGATGAGATCGAGTCTGATTCAAAGTTGGTCAGATTCCAAACAAAGCCTGAAGGAACCAGCTGTCTTTGCACAGGGGGGCCCGTGCATGTGGTCTGCGACAGCTTAACTCACACATCAAACAACTGTCAGACCCCCGCCAACCCTCACACACACCTCAACACCAAGAACACACACCTAACGCTCTTTTAGCACGGCGAGCATCACCAAAAACACTCTCTTAAACTCATACAAAGTCCCGATAAAAGATCAAGGAGACGATCTGCGGCCGTGCAGACTGACTGTCACTGCAGTGTGTGTTGTTGTGTGTTTCTGCCTTTGTGTTTATTTTGAGATGCAAGTACTCATCCATTCCTGCATCCCCCGGAGATGCTGTCTGCTAGTCAGTCATCACTGCTGCATGACAGTCAAATGACGGATGGATGAGAGATTATGTTTGGTTAGATAAGAGTGCACAAACATGAGGAATGTCTTCATGGTGTGTGGTTTACAGCACAAGGCCACACATGAGAGAACAACAGCAACAGTAACAACAATCAATTTGAGACACAGGTGGGCAATCTACAGGAAAAACACAAGCTGTGGTGGAAACAGGGTCTACTGCATGCTGAATTTTTTTTAAATGGACCCTGCAAGGAGGTTCACAGTCCAACTGGAATTTGTCACTCCTAAAGACTAAAAGATTAAACATTTGGATATTTCTCCTGCCGGATATGTGTAATTTATCTGAAGTAAACATAATTGAGTGTGTTGTGTTGCTTATCCTGTCTGATGAGGGGATTTTGGGAAAAAGTGAGTGGGTGGATTGATGTATTCATCAAGGCCTGATGTTTAATTTAGCTGTTTATTCACATCCCTGTCAGCGTACTCTGCTAAAAACAGACCTCTGGGACAGAGAAAGCATAAAGCCAGTTTCCCACCAGAGCACAGATAGGAAACTGGCTTTATGCTTTTTTTCCTGTTCTGCCGGCCGGACGCACAAAGAGCTGGACGGACAATCAACACCAGTGGAAGAGGACAGAGTTTGGGTGAAGGCACACAATCAGTTTTCATGATCAAAAACCGCAAGATGGCATCTCCATTATTGGCAACAACTACTGAGAGAAAATGACGGAGGAAAACCTGTAATCAATCCTCATCTTCATAATCAGAGGAAGAAAGGCGGAGATGAGCGGGGAAAGGAAGATGGAGGGTGGAGGAAGGGATCAGTGGAGGAAAAGATTGTTGAGTGATACAGTAGTTGTGTCTAAAGGTCGCTGCCCTGGCGCCACCGCTGCCTCACTGCTGAGAGACGGACCGCCTGAAGACTGAGCCGACCCACCTGGGCCAACAAATGCACCCCAGGGACAGGAAAGAAGAGAAACAGAGAAGAAGAGTGCTATTTGTTGAACTTCTTAACATGGCTATTGTTTCACTTAAGTAGCATTACACTTTTAAAAAATGCACACTGTGGCAGTATCAAATATTCTGTTTCAGCTATTCATTAAAGCTGTGCATACAGTGTTGCAGTTTAATACTCCAAGTGGCACCATTCAATCATTTAGAAATGTTCCTGTGCACTATTTTGCACACATTTCCCTAAAATCCAGCCTGACACCTTGGGTTTCTTTTTGAAACTTTCACCACTAGAATGTAATATAAAGTTTTGCAACTTAAAACGATGTTTGGCTGCACTGCATGGCTTTGGGCTGACTACATTGAAATCCTTTTACACCATACAAGTCCCTTAGTATTAGCTTGCCTGTGTATATAGAAAATAGGTCCCAAAATAGTAATACAAATATAAAACGACATTATTAGATCACAGGAGGCTTTTGAGTTTTATAATTTTATTTCATCGTTTTTGTTGATTAATATTTTACATGTGCTTTGCATTGCTTTTATTTTTGTATTGTGTATCCTACTCAATTTAGTTGTTCATTTGGCATTTTCTTAAGTGATACCTAATATAATAATAATACACTTTATTTTTATTGCACCTTTCATGCAAGATGCAGACCAAAGTGCTTTACATAGTAAGACAACATATAGAGTGAGGAGTATAATTGAAAGCAAGTTATAAACAAACAGAAAGAGTTATATCATAAAACCAATAAAACATGAACAGTGTTAACAGTTAAGCCCTGAGCCTGTTTTTCAGGTTTCAGGCTCGAAAAGGACATGCCCAGAACAAATGACTATAACTTCACTTCTAAAAGGGTTAAATTAATAATCTTTTTTCTCAAAGCAAGGTTACACCTGTGGGTTGGATGTAGAAGTGTCAGAATCAATATAGATGTTTCTGTGTCAGAGTAAATTCAGATGGAACATTGTAAAAAAAGGTAAATTCTTACCTCCGCCTAAAAAAAACCCATTACTTATAGTGAAAACCACCCTTGAATGATGGGATGGTAGACTAAAAGCTTTAGGAATCCAAACTACAACATATAATAAGTACCCTGTATCAAGATTGATGCAAAACAAGTGACATTTGACCTCTTTAGAGAGATTTATAAAAATAAAAATAATATGAAATCTCCGTTTTTTACATTAAAAAGCAATGATGGATTATCAGTAATCCTTTCAAAGTGACACAGACACATTGGATTAACCTATGGATTAACCTTCAGCTGCGTTTTTATCATTTTAATGCCATTGAACACAACTTTTCATCAGAATAACAGCTAATTTGAGACGATTTCCCGTGAATGTTCCGTAATTCACGTGTTGTGACGTCTGTGTTTGCTTCCCCTGTCACGAGTTCTAATCGCTCAGTGATGATACTTATACCTATAGAATCTGTGGAATCTCAGCTTTAATGTGATATCTTGTTTTTGCAGTTACGATAAGTAATAAGGGTATTTTTACCTTGAGTTCTGTGGTAAGTGTGTTAGCATTTTTTCGCTCAGGGCTCATTTAGACGCTTCTTGTGAGACTTGTGTTTTGTTTCGGTAAAAATGGTTCATATTGTCAGTTAGCTGAGTTTCTTCCCGTTAAATGGGTATGACACATTAATAGGTTTGTAAATATTAAGAAGCCCTGAGACACAGTTTCGTGAAAAAACACCCCACTGCCCCCTGTACAGGGGGCTCTAGGGCTTAACAGGCTAAATACCACTAAAATAACCCCAAATTAAAAAGATAGTTAATTTACTTTGAAAAATTCCAATCGAGTTTACTGTTCTAAGAATGATGACAATTTTTCTCACACATTATGAAGGAAATTCAAAATATGATCAAATAAATCTCCCCTAAATCATATTCTTGTAAGACATGTTTGGACAGCGCCCATGGGTGACTTAAAAATGGAATTGAAATATAATGTATTACTATAACTAAAGATTCTTAAACATGTTTTTATTAAGCATGTTGTCTTTGTTTTAATACTTTGGAGTATTGCATATTCAAATTAAAGGTTTGAGGTTTAGGCTGTGTTTTTCCAAGCTGCAGTTTATTACATTTAAACATATATATATTTAGTTTTTGGTTCCTACCTGGATAAACATGTTCAGACATGAAAAGATAACAGAGATAGAAATGTAAATAGTGCAGCTCATCAGCAGAGTGCTCCGGTGCCAGAAGGACTCTCAATTGATATTGTAATGGGGTACTTCATGAAACCTGTCATGCCCAGGCTTGCTCATGGGTGCTGTCCAAACATGTCTCATCAAATTTCACAAAAGTAAAACAAACCTCTGCTATAATATCTGTGGGAAGTTAGAGGGCAACAAATATTCAGTTTTATAGTTTAATTGTGTACTTGAGATACAACCCACATTTTATGAATGAAATGTGAGGAATAATCAAAATAAATACTATTATTACCAGAAAAAAATCATTGAAACCCATATTGCATGTATTATAGTGACTCCACTATACATTATGTTGAGTACTAATCAAATGAATGGAAAGAGAAGTGGGTGTGTACATAGAGAAAGAGCAATAGAGGAGGAGGGCTGTGGGAGGGGAGGAGGGGAGGGGAGGGGAGTAAGGGGGCGTCCTGGGAGGGCACAAGTCTGAGGGGGTATTTAAGGGTGGGCAGATTACACATGCAGCAACAGACTTCAGAGTGTTATACTGTGGATCTATCTGCAACAGATTTCCTGTTCTTGAAAAAAGGAATAAGAAGAGAAGATGGATGCAACTGACGGTCCTTATGAGTACTACGACTACGACGAGTCAGAGAACTCCACCATGTGTGACTATTCTGAGTGGTCTCCGTCATACTCGGTCATCCCGGTGCTGTACATGCTTATTTTCATCCTCGGCCTCTCTGGAAACGGGGTGGTGATCTTCACGGTGTGGAGAGCTCAGGGTAAGCGGCGAGCGGCTGACGTCTACATCGGTAACCTGGCCCTGGCTGACCTCACCTTCGTGGTCACCCTGCCTCTGTGGGCCGTCTACACCGCCATGGGCTACCACTGGCCCTTCGGAGTGGCCCTGTGCAAGATCAGCAGCTACGTGGTGCTGCTCAACATGTACGCCAGCGTCTTCTGCCTCACCTGCATGAGCTTCGACCGATACCTGGCCATCGTCCACTCCCTGTCCAGCACTCAGCTGAGAACCCGGGGCCACACCAGAGCCTGCCTCATCGCCATCTGGCTGCTGTCCGGGCTCCTGGCTGCTCCGACTCTGATCTTCCGCACCACCAAGTATGATCCAACCAGCAACCGCACCTCCTGCGCCATGGACTTCAGCCTGGTGATGACCAAAGTGGAGCAGGAGAACCTGTGGATCGCAGGGCTCAGCATCTCCTCCTCAGCTCTGGGCTTTCTTCTGCCTTTCCTGGCCATGATGGTGTGCTACGGCTTCATCGGCTGCACCGTCACCCGGCACTTCAACTCCCTGCGCAAAGAGGACCAGCGCAAGAGGAGGCTGCTGAAGATCATCACCACGCTGGTAGTGGTGTTCGCCGCCTGCTGGATGCCCTTCCACATCGTGAAGAGCGCTGACGCCCTCTCCTACCTGGAGCTGTTTCCCGCCAACTGTGCCTTCCTGCGCTTCCTGCTGCTGGCTCACCCCTACGCCACCTGCCTGGCCTACGTCAACAGCTGCCTCAACCCCTTCCTGTACGCCTTCTTCGACCTGCGCTTCAGATCCCAGTGTCTCTGCCTGCTGAACCTCAAGAAGTCTTTGCATGCGAGCCCGGCCTGCTCCCTGTCCTCTCAGAAGACAGAGGCTCAGTCTCTGGCCACGAAGGTGTGACGACAGCTCAGGGCCCAGAGGCATACTGGGGAAGAGGTGAACAATGCAGAACAATGCAGATAAATCAAAACTGTACAGCACCGGGTGCTTGCTCACAGACAGTCTGCGGGTCAGTTTCGGGGCGTCACGTTTGCTCCTCTCTGACTTTGAAACACTGTGGGGGTTTGCCTGAGAAACGGCAGACAGGTTTGTGGTCCGACCACATTCAAACTTCAGCCTCACTTTCAGGATCAGGGAAGCAAAAACTGAACTATTTAATACAAGGGACCAAGCTGGCTTTTTTGAAAAAGCGGAATGTATTTTGAGAGGACCTAAATGCTCATGTGTTTTCTCCTGTGGACTTTTATGCAAAATACTGAGCTTTTGAACTCTTACATCCTCTCATCGAGTCCCAGTGAAGAAGTGTGTTACTCATGCATTTGTCCCTGCTGTTCTTGTTTTCATTCGTAAGCACTTGAGGTGTGAAATCTACCAGACAACCTTGTAGTAGTATCTGTGTCACCGCCAGCAGTGTTACGTATGTGTGTGCGTGTTTACGTGTGTGTGTGTAGAATGGGTGTGCCAGTCGCTAAGAGGTGTTTGAGTCTGATAAGAGTGTTGTAAGCAGAGACGGTGGTAGTGGTAGGGGGTGGCAGTCAGCCCCAGACAGACAGACAGATGGCAGCTGACAAATGCTTTCAGGCTGGTAGAGGGCCCAATTAAAAGGTGGCTGCTTTGACAGTCTGCTGGTGTGTGTGTATGTGTGTGTGTGTCTGTGAAGGAATGAGTCTGTTCAATGAGCGTCAGCATGACAATGAATTTGTCCCTGCAAATACATGAAAGCATTTTGTGAATACACGTCATTTTGAATTGATTGTTTATGATTTGTAATAAAAACAAAAGTCATTTGAAAAAACCCAAATATCCTCTCAGTCTGGTCTCTCTCCGTCACTTGTGATCGCTTGTTATGTCTCGCTGCTGGAATGTATTTTCTCCCATCCAGTGAATGTGCTTCTTCCTGTTAGTGCATTGCTTTCAGGAGGCAGTCTCCGTCCCATTGTGTTTCGCAGGGCCGAAATCAAAGCATTTGTCAGCAGGAAATGCAAGTTTGACTTCTGTTTCCCTCTTTCCGCACGCCTGTTTCTCCTCCTCTTTACAACTCGCTCACACAAACAATTATTGAGCACAAAAGATTCTAAATTGGATCAACCAGAGGACATGTAGCTTTTTCCCAGCAAAGTTTAAAGTCTCAAGGGTTAATTACCATAACTTTAGACTCTTTATTCTGTACCAATGCATCCAAAAATACTTCTAAATGAGATCCTGGGTCGTTAGTGTATCACGATTGAGAATAGTTCAATGAATTGTTGTTCCTTTTCAACAGGTTGCTGAGCTTTACATTAGAACTTAACGATATTGACTGTAAAGAGCTTTTTACAGGATGTAATCAGCAACAGCAGGGAGACAGAGGGATTGGACTAATCCATGGGTGCTGATTTGTAATGAGACTATCTGTCCCTGAAACCCGTGACAGAGATTGGCTTAGTCTAAATTAAATTACCTACAATTAAAGTTTGCTACAGTGTGCCTTTATGGTAAGTAGAGGTTTAGAAAATGTGACAAAAGCTGAACGTTCATTGAAAAAGTACATTTTAATTTAGTTTAATAAAGGTGAAATGGGAAAATGTCATTGTCAGAGGGAAAATAAATCCAACAGCTGCAGTGACATTCACTCTGTCTCTTTCATCGCTGTCTCAGCTCTATAATCTCATCTGAGCCAAGACACAAAGACATTCAAAGATGTGTGAAATATGTCTCGAAATTGGGTCTAGAATTTGTATGTTTAGAAGTGGGGAAAAACTAGATACACCGATACACTCATAGAACAATAACAACAGTCCAATATAAAGTGTATTAGTGGCACAATCCATGCACTCCAGTGTCTGCACAGCAACATGTTTTATTAGTGAAACAGCATACAGTGCATTTTTTTAGTCGATGTCTTGTCACATTACCCTCCATACATCAGCTTCAAAGTGAAAGCCCGCTGTGAAAGATAATCTGGATAGATTCATGTCATGGGTTTTCAAGTTTTATGAAGCTAATGTGATCATGTTACCGAGATTTCATGGCAGGAACTTTGCCAAAGCTTGAAAACTAACTTGTATACGTAATAAAATAAAAGGGATTTATGACCTTTGATCCTAAATAGGTTTGTCTGAGATGATGTTCAGAAATGATAACACAAATGTTTTCATTCCTCTGTAATAACAGAGTGTGAAAATGTAATGTGTCTACGGGGAGCATGCTGCCTCGGGGAATCCTGAGGATATAAACACTCTTCCTTCTGCCTCAATAAGAAATGACTAATTCTTTCTTAAAACAGACATTGACAAGCATACTTGCATTTAACCTGTAAAGCATTAAAAAACATATAAAACATCATATGTTTTTCATATTGATTATGTGTCTGAGATATTGTGCTCTGCATCTGTAAGGTATCAACAGTTAGTTCTGAATCTGCAGAGACAAGCACCGATGTTTCACTGAAAACCCCCTAAGAAAATGTATCAAAGCTCCATAAAATGTCAAAAGATAACAAACTCCAACCACTAATTATATCTATAATAGTTTCTTGTTGACAGCACAGTTAATACCTGTCAAAACGGTCTTCTCAAGCGCTTCTTTGAATATAAATCTGCCTAACTCAACAATTAATGATAATGCCATACTAAATGTGTAACACACTTTGAATTAGGTCATTTTTAGTGTTCTAAAATCTCAGTTTTCATGAGAAATATTTGGAGTTTCAAATGAAACTGTGACTGAAGTAATTTATTCTTCAGCTTTCTACTCAACCACTCTGAGGGAAATTGTGATTTTCATTCCACATGGCATGCACTGTGTATGTGGCCAGATTTGGCATGTTGCTATGATTTTAGATTGCACATTGACACACTTTAAGCTTGAAACTAAATGCATATGTAATGGTAATGCACAATCTAACACTCACTATAGTCCTTTTTCTGTGTGAGTAAGCTGTGCAAACTGTATTATTTGGTCAGAATCTTGTTTATTGTCAAATCCGTTCTCACATACAATGCCTTCGTGTTTTGGTGGATAACAATTCAAATAGTAAGAGAAAATCGAAATAAAGCAAACCCTGCAAAATAGAAAAATGTACAGTAAAAATCTGTGAGTTTCAAAAGCTGTACTGGGTTTGTAAGAAGAGGGTGGAATATGAAAAATATAGACTAAAGAATGTGCAAAACATTAAAAGTATAAGGAATAAAGAATATATGCAATGTAATGATATCATTAACCATAATTCATTATGTAACACATTGAGTCAGATCCAACTAGGGGAATTTATGCAATATGCGTGCTGATAGTTATTTTGGTCTTGTTTTCTTGAACTGACCCTTTAAGTCTGGACAGAGATGTATGGAAAAGCCCTATCGGTCTTTGGAGGTGATCTATCATCACAGCACAATGCAGACTGTAAAGAAGCCAAACCCAAATTCATCCCCAGACTGGACACTGTTTGTTTACAGTGTAACGCATATCAATAGAAACCGCAGGCGAAGCTTGAAGGCCGAGTTTCTATAGGAGTGCCCACCTTATCTCATTCATTGTCTGTCAATGGAAAATCAGATAGCCTTTGTCTTGTTTTAAATCAGGCTTGCAGCCCTGCCTCCTGTGTGTAACAGCACATAAATCAGAACCCAATAAACAGGCAGAAAATAGACACAGGAAGTGTGCACACATTTCATCTCCGTTCTAACAATGGAGGCTGCGCAGCACGGCCATCAGACCGGACCTTGAGCCTGGTCAAGCATAGTGTGATAGGATGAGGTGTTGACCCCTGGAGCGTCTTGAAGGACCCTCAGCTTCCTGCCGCCCTCTCTCGCAGCGCTCCTCCCGGCATCGTCCCAGGAGGACGACAGACCACACGGACAGGATAGGACTCCGCAGGCCAGGAAGGAAAGGAAAAGTATGGGGATATCCTGTCTTTCAGAGGCTTCTCCCTGCGTTTAGGGCCCTCTGCGAGATAGATAGAGACGCCTGCTCCTCCTGAGGTCTTGCAGGACATGGAGGCTCACTTCTGTGCGACAAAGGGGAGCAATAAGGAATGTTTGACAAATAACACCAGAGCTTGAAGCAGACATAGTGGCAAACAGGTGACTCGTCAGATGTCTCTTTTTCTCTCCTCACTCTCTCTCCTGAGATGGCAAACATTTCAAAGGCGTTCACACAAGACGGCCATCGTTAGTGGAGACACGTCGTTTCCGACAGCAGAAAGGAGCGGAAGTGCCCAAGCTTTTAGGGTGACTCCGGATCTTGGGTTTTGTGAGTCTCGGAGAAGATCATCCTCTTCACAGAGCACAGAGTGTCCCTTCATTCCCTCCTCTATCCTCTCCATTGTGCATCCTTCCCTCCCTCGAGCCTAAATGGATGCCCTGTCATCTGGAGCAGGAGCGAGCCAGTTCAGAAGCTCAGCTGCACTCACTTAAGCATCACAGGTAGATAGCTGCACAGAGGAGCACACATGCAAGAGATTACGCAAGAACACGACCATGGGAGGCTGTGTGGCGCATGATGCATTGATTTAGACAATCACTGTAGCGAAGAGCGTAGCGTTAAAGTGTAATCTTAAAGTGATCATTTAGGGTTGAGCAGACTTTCTAGAAACTGTAAATGATGCAAATGTGGGATGTTTGGTGCAGCAATTTCCCTGAATTCAAGACAATAAAGTAATTGCTCTGTTATTGCAGCCACATCTTAAACAACAACCTGCAGCCACACACAGACTCTATCTGTGTGTCTGTGTCTTTTAATCACATCATGTTGATGTGTTGATGGTTGTGGATTCTGAAATGTGTAACCTCAATTTCCCCTCTAGACACGTTGTCAGACATTAAGACAAACGAATGTCATGTAATCTCTACTTTGAATACATTCAAGTTGAGCTTTAAAATAAAGACCCTTTATGAATATTTTAACTCTGTTCTATAGTACAGGACATTTTTACATGTTTGATTACAGACAGCTGTCATTCACTACACCCCCACAAAGTGTCACAACAACACATGTAATTGTTAAAAAAAGAAATGTAATGACATTACATGTTACTTGTTAGACGCTTTTATCCAAAGTGACTTACATACTCAATACTGTGGGCAATCCCCACAGGAGCAATTTGGTGTGAAGTGTCTTGCCCAGGGACACAACAACATGCTGACTGCAGTAGGGTTTGAACCTGTGCTCCCTTGATCTGAACACCAACGCTCTATCCACTGCGCCACACGCCTCCTGACCCAACACGTTTTTGAAATGTACAAGATTAACTGTGAGTAACTGGAATGCATTTTTGGAGAAGAAAATAAAAAGTAGAAGTGAACCATTTTAACCCCTGATGTATAAACCCACACACAGAAGCACACAGACGACTCTTTGCATGACATCCTCCTGACAGGTGGCATGTTGAAAGGAGGCCCAGAAACCCAGAGACAGGCTTATGAATACTGAGTAAGCTATGTACAACCCTTTGCAAACCTTTAAGCACGATTGCTACACTGTTTCAATATATTGTTGTGGTTTTATATAGTGTCAATACTTGTGATTTGTTGAACCTTTGTTCAGCTTTTTGTCCTAATTTTTAGCTTAATTTAACTTAATTTATTTGCCTCATTTTTATTTCTGTTTATGTAGTCTTAATTGAAATCAACAGACGCAGGGTAAAATACCTTAAATTAGTACAAATAGCCAATAAATCTGATTCTGGCTGATGTCAACAGAGTCCTGAAATAATGAAGAACGCCACTCACAAAATACATACTGTGAATGGTGGCTTTGTTTTGACCAGCTTTAAGAGACGGAAAGAGTATTTTAGGGCATAATGTTCAGGTACAGTGG